ATATATTTTTAGCTGTCCAATTAATTTCTTTCTATTTTTGGTAGAGACGGGGTCTCGCTCTTGCTCAGGCTGGTCTCGAACTCCTAAGCTCAAACGATCCACCCGCCTCCACCTCCCAGAGTGCTAGGATTACAGGCGTGAGCCACCGCGCCCGGCCCCTTAAAACTTTTTAATCTAATAATAATTCCATTCCTAGACACTTATCTTAAGAAAAGAGTAAACATTCATATATAAAGTTCTCTATTAGTATTATTTTTATCATGGTGAAAAACTGGAATAAATTTAATATCCAAAGGAAAATGGATATTCAAAAGTATATAAACTGTACAACAAAATAACATAAAAATATTTCCAAAGGACATTTCATGACAAGGGGAAAAATTCACTAAAAAATCTGACTAAAAGCCCGGAAAAACAGAAGGAAAAGATCACCTATAATTATATAACTCATATACGACATTGTGATAAATTTTTTTTTTCAGTATTATTACGGAGGTACAAATGTTTAGGTTACATATATTGCCTTTGCTCCACCTGAGTCAGAGCTTCAAGTGTGTTCGTCCCCCAGATGGTGCGCACTGCACCCATTAGGTATGAATATACCCATTCCCTCCTCCCCACTCCCACCTGCCCGACACCAGATGAATGTTACTACTGTATGTACACTTAAGTGTTGGTCAGTTAAGTCAGTTAATACCAATTCGATGGTGATGATAAATTTCTTTTACACTTTTCTACATTTGTGCATTTTCTTCAATGAACATTTGTAACTTTTGTAGTGAAACAGAACAACAAAAGAGTTCTTGTAAGATGTGGAAAAATGGAGTAAATGAGTTGAATAAATGCATAAATGTATAAACATTTAGAAATCAGTAACAAAAATTCATGGTCACAAGAACCAAACGATGTAATTTCAGATCTATTCTGATTTGATGATGCTAATTTGAAAATGTAATTGAAGAACCACTGCTACGAGACTGCTGCAAACCTATTAGGCTAATGGCTAGTAGAGTTTGTTAATTACAGACACCCCCAACTTATGACGGCTGAGTCACGATATTTCAACTTTATGATGGTGCAAAACCAATATGCATTCAGCAGAAACCGTATTTCAGGACTGTATTTGATAAATTACCTGAGATAGTCAACACTTTATTGTAAAATAGGCTCTGTTAGATTATTTTGCCTAACGTAAGTGTTTTGGGCACATTTAAAATAGGCTAGGCTAAGCTATGATGTTTAGTGCGGTTAGGTGTATTAAACGCATGTCTGAGTTAATGACTGGTTTATCAGGATGTAACCTCACGATAAGTTCATCTGTATCGCAAAGCCAAAGATAAAGGGAGAAACTAGAGGGACATATACAATACATATGTTCTTAGGATATATTATATCCTATCTTATTATCTTAATAATATCCTAATATATCCTAAAAACACATATATATTAGAATATAATATATTCTAAAAACACATATAGGAACTGCTGATATAAAAAGATAATGTAAATATGTGTAAATGTTTTAGTGAAAGAGAAGAGAAAATTGAAAAGACCACATAAAACCCAAAATTTAAAATAAGAAAACAATATTCTTACCTAATATTTAAGAATGTTAGAGCTTGTAGGTTTAGAATTGCCTCTGGGATATACCGAATACAATTTTGGTACAAGTTGAGATTTTCAAGAGAAACAAAGTGACATGTTTCTAAAGGGATTTCTGAGAGGCGATTTCGTGACAGGTCTGAAAGAAAAAATAAATTAAGTTTAAAATCAGTCCTTGGAACTTATTTTTTTAAAGTGTTAAATAAATAAGCAGGTTTCATGATTATTTAAATTCCCCAGAGTTCCTTATTGTAGGGATCAGCCCAAAGTAAGCAATCAAATGTTTATTAATTGACTAAATAAACCATTTTAACATGTCTCTAAACCTGTTGCTGGAAAATGCTCGTTTGAGTTTTCACATATAATAATAAAAAAAAAAAAAACCATTATTCTTTACAAGTGACACAAGTTCTAAGGCATATCTGCCTACAAATTATATCAAAGATCATTATCACTAAGTTCCAAATATCCTAGGAAGCAAATGGATCCCTAAAAGTCACCTTCCCAAAGGCACAGAAAACATTCTGAGGTTTTTGAAAAGCAAAACAAAATATACTGTCCCTTTCTTTACTAGTCAGATGATCAAGGTCATGGTCAAAAGGACTCAGGAACCATCTTTGTTCCCACTGGCCAAAGATGAGACAAGGTGAACTTTGATAAAGATAATTCCAGTGTATTAAAATCCATCACATATATTAAACTACATGAGATTATGACATACACCCACCCAAAAGATAACAGAGATCCAATTCAGTATTTTTTTCATCTATTTTTTATTTGTATATATTCATGGAGCACAATTACAATTTTGCTATTTTGATATACTGCATTGTGGTAGTCAGGGCCTTCAGTGCATATCAATGAAGCAACATACATTGTACGTACCAAGCAACCTCCCATCATCCACCCCACTCCAACTCTCCCACCTCTCCAAGTCTTCATTATCCATGATTCCATACTCTGCTTCCACGTGTACACATTATTTAGCTCCCACTTATAAGTGAGAACATGCAGTATTTGTCTTTCTGTGTCTGAGTTGTTTTACTTATAATGGCCTCCAGTTCCATCCATGTTGCTGCAAAAGACATGGTTTCATTCTTTTTTAAAGCTGAATAGTATTCCATTGTGTATATATATCACATTTTCTTTATCTAATCCACTGTTGATGGACATTTAGGCTGATTCCATATCTTTGCTATTATGAATAGTGCTGCGATAAACATAAGAGTGTAGGTATCTTTTTTAATATATTCATTCCTTTTCCTTTGGGTAAATAACCAGCAATTTATCTTATAAACTAACTGGTAACTTAAGGGAAAGAATCAAACATTTATCCTGCTTTCCCCATATGAAGGTATCATTGAGTAACCAAACAGTTAAAACACTATAAAAGTGTTCTAGCTATGAATGAAAAAGAATAATAGAATATCACCATTTTGTAACCCCCAATGAATTAATGGATCTAGAATTGAGCATCAATGGCTGTTATCTTTACAAAAAGACAATCTTTGTTGTTATCACCTTATCTATTTCTTTCTACCTCTCCTTTATGTATTTTGGGGTTTTGTTGTCAGGTACCAAAAATTTTTATATTTTCCTGGTGAACTGAAAGTTTTATTTTATTTATTTATTTTTTTGAGACAGAGTCTCATTCTGTTGCCTGAGCTAGAGTGCAGTGGAGTCATCATAGCTCACTGCAACCTCAAACTGCTGGGCTCAGGCAATTGGCCTGCCTCAGCCTCCCAAACAGCTGGAAATACAGTGTGTGTACCATCACACCTTGCTAATTTTAAAATTTTCTATAAAGTCTAAATCTTGCTATGTTGCTTAGGCTGGTCTCAAACTTCTGGCCTTAAGTGATCTTCCCAACTCAGCCTCCCACAGTGCTAGGATTACAGGAGTCAGCCATTGTGCTGGCAGAGTTTTTTATAATTCTTAAGTTACCTTTATTATTTCTAGTAATGCTATTTGGTTTGAAATCTCTTCTTTTGGCTGCTATGGTAGACATGCTTTAATGTGGCCCCTATGATCCCTATTCATACTTTGGATAATATCCCTCCTCCACTTGAGTGTGGTGGGACCTGTCACTTGCTTCTAACCAACAGAATATTGTAAAGGTGATCTGATGTCATTCCTATGCTATGTTACATTGTATAAGATTCCATCTTGCTAGCCAACTTGCTTGAGTCTCTCTCTTGCTCTCGTGTGCGTGCTTTCTCTCTCTCTCTCCCTGTTCCTGACTTTGAAGAAGCTGGCTGCTATGAATCCTACAGTTGCAAGGAAATCAATCTGCCAACAACCTCCAAATGAGAACTCAACTCCAGCCAACAATTTGACTACAGTCTAGCAGTGGACCCAGTAAAGGCCGTGCCTGGACTTCTAACTCAAAGAAATGTGAGTTACTTTAAGCCTGCGGGTCCAGAATACCGGGGCTATGGACTGGTACTGTTCTGTGGCCTGTTAGGGCCCAGGGTACAGAGCTCCATCCAACCACCCTCCCATCCTCCTATCTCCCCTTCCCCCTACTCCACCCCTGAACCCCACCCCCACCCCCCATCCCCTGTCCGTGGAAAAATTACCCTCCATGAAACTTAGGAAGGATGGGGTGTACAGCAAGTGAGCGGTGGGCCAGCAAGTATATTTACAGCCACGCCCCATCCCTCCCATTACCACCTGAGTTCCCCATCCCTGTCACCAAGTCTGTAGAAAAACTGTCTTCCATGAAACAGGTACCTGGAGCTAAAAAGGCTGGGGACGGCTGCTTAAGCTGCTAAGTTTGTGGTAATTTGTTACACAGCATAGAAAACTACTATAGTCAATAGTTCCACAGAATATCTTTTTTCTATCCTTTAATTTCGACCTTTCAGGACCCTTATATTTGAATGAGTTTCTTATAAACCGCATTTAAATAGTTTTGTTTTCTTCTTTGACAATCTTTAACTGAAAGGCTCAGTTTATGTTTAGCATAATTACCCATTTTATTTGGATTTTTAAAAGGGTCATGTTATTTGTGACAGATACAGTTGACTGCCCTTTGAATATCTATGCTCTCTCTTCTTTTTTTGCTATTAGAATCTTAATTGTGTTCAAAATAGTAAAGTGTCAGCTAGACCATTGACTGATACTTCCAATTTCATTAATCATTAAAGTTCAAACTAAGGAAATAAAGGAAGATACAAAATTTAACCAATTTTAACCTGGCAACTAAAAACTGATACAGGTAATTCTCATTTAGAGGCAGTGTTCTGAATTTGTGTGTAAACTGAATGCTTAAAAATCACCACCTGTTTTTCCATAATGGGAAAAAAGATTTCTTAGCTTTTAAGGACTAATTCTACCAATGATGCCATTGAAATGCCACATATTTGCAAATATGTTCCTTTTCAAATATTTCCTATCTCAGTACATCATGCTTTTGTCCACCCAGTTGCTTAAGTCAGAATTCTGTAATGATTCCTGACACCTTTCTCTTTCCCCAATCTAATTCTATCAGTATTCAGGTTCTTGGCTCAAATGTATCTTTGCATCATTTCTCCTTATCTCCTCTGTCACTGCCTTTTAGTATTATTCTACAAATCTAATCAAATAACACAAGAAAAACTACACATAGCGTAAAATACAAAGAAGGAAGCATAAAGCCAGCTTCATAACATTGACAGCAAGAGAGCAAAAATAACCAACCACTCCTCCCTCCATTATAGGCAATTCTACTATGCAATAAAATACAACAGACTACAATATAACAATTTATGATCTTTGATCACCAAAAAGAAGTAATACTGTATTTAGTACACTCTACTTTTAAAAAGAAAAGCAAAAAAAAAAGAAAGAAAGAAAACATTTATTTAAAGATTTACATTAAATGTTTTAAACAGTTTCCTTATCCATCGGTGAGATTAAATAAGCAGAGAGGTTACCGGATCTTTGTGTCACTAGAGGAACTAACTCCTTTCTGACTTCACACACAGAGATAATACTAGTATTGTCACACAAGTCTCCTAAGTTTCCATCTCTATGTCAGTGTAATCAATCTTACGTTGTTTTCCAGACTGCAAGCTCAGTTGAGACTCGCCAAGTACTGTAAAAAATCACAAACTGGATCATAAACAACTTTTCAATTAAGCTATTAAATTACTTCTATGCGTCACATCCTGAATGTGGCCTTGGTCTTCCACCAGCCATTATCTTTTCCTCTAGCACTAGTGATATAAGCCAACGAGTATACCAACCTTTGGCACAGCCCTTAGATATATTATTTGGTTGACTAAGGCAGAGAAATCCTATTTCAGCCTGATACAAGTATGAGAAAATTTTTGGCCCAGGGAAATATCATGGAAGTTTCAATTAAGTAAAAGAAAATACTGCAATAAAAAAGGTGCTAGGGCATCTCTTTTGCAAGCAAACTCCTGGTTATTTTCCTTTTTTTACAAAGATCTTACCCTCAAAGTTAAACTCATGTCAAAGGTACTATAAGTTTTTAAATAATATATTAAAGAAAAAAGCCTAAACAATAGTTAAGAAAAAAAAACTTTCGTTATTAATGGGGGCAGAAGCATAAGAACGGTCACTCTAGATTCACCTAGCAAATTTTTTATTATTATTAATAATATCATTTTCATTGACAAATTATAATTGTATATATTTATGGGGCACAGTGTGATATTTCGACATATGTATACAATGTGGAATGATTAAATCAAGCAAAGTAACATATCCATCTTCTCACTTACCACATCACTTTTTATAGTATGACATTTGAAACTTACTCTCTTATTTTGAAATATACAATACGTTGTTACTGACTATAGTCACCCTATCACACAGAAAACATTTAACGAGTCACTACGTCATGAGGGTAGGGACTATGTCTGCTTTGTTCAGCTCTGTATACCTGTTACCTGGTACAGAGCACACAGTAGGTGTTCAGTAAAATATTTGTTTAAAAAATGAGCAAATAAGTAGATGAAACAAAAACTGTAGACTTAGAAATGAGTAAGACACCCTGTGCTACATCTACAGAGCTCCATCTATAGTAAGACTACAACATAAATAACTTACTGAAAAGGGGCCAAGATACAATTTTACCTTGGTGATTTTTTTTGTTTGAAGGACAAGTAAGCATTTAGATAAAATAAATCA